CTCTCTCTCGCACACATGTGTGCACACACACACAGTGAGAGAGAGAGTTCAATAAAAATGGGGGCAACAATTAATAATGAAAGGAAACTTTTGTCTGAGAATCTTTACTTCCCTGCTTATTGTTCATCATTGTTACAGCTGTGCATAAGATACTGAATTTATTATATGCAGAAGTTCATTTAAATGTGTAAACTTACAATGGAGGAGGAGGACAACCAATATAAGAGAGGATGTGAGAAAGAGGACTAATGAAAGTCAAGTGAAAAAATATTAATAAATTTAGTATTTCTGAAATCAAGGTAAACTCTTGCTCGTAACTCTTCCATGGTTCTTTTAAAATCACTTGGAACACACGAGTTTTTAGTTCTGTCTCTGGAAATAGGTCTGCCTAAATCAATTTGCATGCATTTTTAGGACTTGGAGTTTAACTGTAATAGTGGAGTGTAGGTAGTCAAGGCAGAAAGGCACTGAAGGCAAAGATTTAGTTCTGCTATACAAACTTAAAAAACTGGGGTCTTTATACCTGTTATTAAGAAACAAAGCAAATACAAAACAGTTAAAATCGCTGCTACCATGCTTGGTGAGACTATTGAATTGGGCAGAATAAGACAGAAAGGAAAAGAAATGGATGTCTTCCTTCTAGTTTAGAAACAGACAGAAGACACTATACATAGCCCAACCTAGATTTACAAGAAGACTGTGATAAGGCATAACACTTTGGCACATTAGACTGTGAAATATTTATGAGCGGGGAGAAGTGCAATAAGGCCTTCTCAGTTGATGTTTTGATATTGCAGAATTTGAATCTATTTGCCTACCAAAATAGATTTTTTAAAGCTACATAATTAAAAAAGCAAGAGTCATTCTGTATACTTGGGTGCCAATTTACGTCCTTTTGATCCTGTATAGCTTTAGAAGGGAAGACAAAAGTGAAAGCATTCTCAAAGCTCAGGTTCTTTCTGTGCCTAGCATTCATTATAGAGGGGAACAAAAGAAAAGGATATAAATTACCAATAAGAGGGATCTGCTAATGGAGAGAATGGAGAAATTTCATTAGCATTTAAGAGGAAAGATTTTTTTATGACCTAGACTTGCTTTCTTTTACTTAAGGAAAAAAACCCCTAAACTAAATAATATGTGTTTCTAAATGCCTGAAGCTCAGTTATCCTCTGATTGGTATAGTTCCTTATAATAAATGACAACATAAGCAAGTTTAAGCAATAATTAGTCTTAGCAGAAAATAAGAGTTTAAAAGTGCAATCCTAGCCGTGCCAACTCTGGTCTCATTATATTTAGTGAAGCATGCTCAGCATTACACATGTTTAGGATTGTAGTTTAAGCTTTGCTGAATTACAAGTGCTTGACCAGATACATGAGATATTGAAACGATTGCATATTGCTTCTCAGTTATTCTAGTTCTACAGGTTACGCATTCTAATGCTTTCTTATCATTCATGTCAACTTTAGAATATGTAATTTTTAAAAAACCTGATTGTTGGTTTATTTCTGTAGGGAACATGTCATAAGGGTGAAGACAGACGTAATATAAAAAGCACTCACAGCCGGTCCATAAGCCGCAGGATGAGACTGGCTTCCTCACAGCTTCATAACTGAAATGACAGACGTGCACACCAGTGAAGTGAACGCTGGCTCAGCCGTCAAGACTTGCTCTTTCCCTTCTACTCTATTTAAGATGGGTTTCCCACACTTAATTTTTACAACTGCTTACTGAAGATCAATGAAGTTATCCAAACAATTGTGTGTGTGTGTGGGGGGGGGGCGTTACAGACAAAAAGAGATTTGGGGATTTTTTTAATATACAAAACTATTCTGGGGCCTGGCAGCAATTGCTAATGTACAAAGACTATCATGAGCACTAGTCAATCCACAGAGGGCTTCGGTAAAGTTGCAGTATTGCTTTTATCTACTGAGCCTAGATGACAAGTACAACTGGACTAAAAGGAGTAAGGACACGCCTAGAGGTTTTACATCTCTAGAGATTTTACATCTGTCTTCACCCAAAGCAAACACTAAGACCCAGATTCAGCAAATGACAGGCAAATCTCTGAAGTTTAAAGAGAACACCACAGCTGCACTAAAGCATGACATGTCCAAACAGATGATTCCTGGTTTTCCCCATCCCACCTGGCTTGCATATATAAGCACTATCATAAAGAGAAGGCATGCTTCAGGAAGCTAACAATTTTCTCTAAACATATGACAAAGCATGCAAATAAGGATTATTCTTTCAGTATGATTTGTATGCATTTTCAGAAAGCCTTTGCTAACTATGCACAGCAAATTCTTTAAACATTCTAATCTTAAGCCAGAATGCAGTGCAGCAGCCTTTGAGTCAAGAAAAATGGCTATTTTTCTCCAAAGCTATTTCAATAAAAGTTGCCAAAAGGACTAGTCTGCTGGACTTCATAATCTGGAGAGCAATACAATACCTTAGATCAGTTAACCAGAGGAGAAACATATTTGCCATGAGCAAGATGGAAAATATTATGCTTTATCCTATATAATTCAACCACTACTATATTTCAGATAGGTATATTGTAGCTACTATATGAGTTTCATTTCATTGCATTTGAAACACGATTTTTAACTGTGAGCTAATCCTGGGATTCCAAAGGAAAGCCAAGAGAAGCTCTTCAGTCTCTTGAATATTGTCAGTGCACATTATAGCTAATAATGCTCTGTCATTTTTAGCTATGAAATGTATAAATAATAACTGAACAAACAATTTACAATTTAATTAACCAACTGTGTGATACTTGAATGTGGGTAATTACTATAGGGCTCTTTTTGTTATACATCTAGTGTATTAGTGATTTGGAAGCTTGAAGAGTCCCACTGATTAAGTGTCAAAGACTTTACAGTTCCTTTCTACAATCTTTCTGAGAAGCTAGTGCCCAGAGGTGCAACAAGATAAATGTTTTCTAGGAACCTCAGCTTCTAGCCTCCTTTCAGATCTTATCTAGCAGTTAGATATGCTAAGAAATTTAATAGATATTTTGTCTAAACATCTTTTAGCAGCAAAGAAAGTAAAGGCCAGGAAATGTTCTGGTCCAGCAGATGAAGTGCTGAACCTTGACTTGGGCTCAGCTCCCTGAAGCTACAGTCTCTAATGCATGACTCTGAACAAATCACTGTCTCCTATTTCAACATATGGGAATGCCGGAACAATTACAACAAGCTCCCAAGATTTCTTCTGAGGGTCAAAAGAAAAAGAAGGAAAATGCTATTTTATTCAGACAATATTTCTTGGCTTGGGATTTTGATATATATTAAATTGCATCTTTTTAAGAGCATGTTGGCTAAGTATTCTGCCCATAAGTTTCCTTTCCATGGATGTCTTTTTGTAATTCCATGCTCCTTTTATCATTGATAAAATGATTGGTCTTGTAGCTGAAATTCAAAACTACCACCACCATCCACATACCTATTCCACAACTATACTATTCCATGAAAACCATATTTTATTATACTTCATCCTGAAGAGAGTACATTAACACACATATTTTAATGACTCGACAGCCAACACTTGCCTCAGTAACTGATTTAACAGTATCCAAGGCTTAAAGTCAAGGTATATTATATACACTGCTTCTCCATAGTCTACTATGCCAGTTTCCTATCAAAGGAAGAAATTAGGCTAGACTGGCATAATTTGTTTTTGGCTAAGTCATGCTATTTATCATATTCCCTATTCTCCACTGGTCATTTACAAATGGTCTGTAGCTCAGTGGCTGGATATGGTAGGGACACAATGAGATTACAAGTATTTTAATGATGAACTCCTCAACAGATTTATCACCTGTCAGGAAACAAACACACTTGATTGCCTTGTGCCACTTTGATTACTATTAACTCAGCTGTGAATTTTCACATGCCAGAGGGAAAAAAATACTAGTATATTGGAAAAGAGAAATGGCAAGATTCCATAAAACAAGGTCTAACTAACAGGATGGACAGCTCTGATTTGAGTTCTTGAACTATAAAACTGGAATAAATTTGGATTAAAATGCTGTAAGGTCCTTTTGTCAAAAGGAAATTCAGATAATCTTGTTCTAAATATTAAAGCATGAAGAGGTAACCAAAGACACTAATATTAGAATAGGGCTGTGCTGAATAAAATGACAGCATCACTGTGGTTGCCTTCAACTACTGCTGCTACAGTAGCTGCCCTTTAGATTTTTCTTCACCCCCATCACCATTAGAGAGATCTATTCTCTTACGCTGATGTGACCATTACTCTTGAAGAGAATAGATGCATCTTAGTGTACTGTTTACTCTGAGCATTCTGCTGCTAGCAGACCAGCCTAGAGAGAGTCTGGCCTCCCTGTGGTGTTGCTCTCAGCTTCTCTGACACTCTCAAACCCCCTCACCATGTTCAGCTGTGCATCTAAAAGGGGTTGTAGTTCTGGGCCATGTGAATATTTTGCATTTCTCTCTACCCTGCTAGTTTAGATCTTAAAACGGGTAGCCCACAGCGTCTGGCCTTGGCAGAAGTGGAATGATGGGACAAATGTTCTATGAAGTGCTTCCAGAAGCATGTGGCATATCAAACTTTTATAATGGAAGTTTGGCAAATGTTACTATCCACTGTTGTACTATAAATTGATCTTTACTGATTAATTCTTAGAATATCATTAAGGTTTGACAAAGGTTATAAGTACAGTCATTGAGAAGAACATGTATTTTCATATATAGTTACATTGTTTAAAAAAGTAGAAAATACCTATTGCTATGGATTTTCATTGTTGATATAAAGAGCTAAATAACACACCACCCAAATACAATGTAATAAGTTAAAAAAGCCTTCATATGACTTAGTGGGGGATATTTTGCAAGCTGTCATTACTTTTCCAAGAGAAGAAATGAATATATTCCTCCTATGCTCTATTATTACTTACCTGAAATTCATCAAAACACAAGAGACAAGCCTCCTCACTTATTTCAGTTGCTATCGGGGCTATTGGGTCATATGATTTAGCCATTAATCCAGGTTTTCTTTTTGGTAAACTCTGTTTCAGGCGATGTATTCCTAAAATGTACACAATACACAGAAAGAATATTAAGAATAACATCACATTTACACATTAATAGAATCAGCACTAACGCAATTAAGTCAAAAATTAATGTAAGTGAATAGCATGCTATCCATCTATTTATATTTTAAGAAAATGATGGGTACCAACACCCTTCATTGCCTGTGCTGATTAATTATGTAAAATACATTTTCCCACACTTTTAGCTGCTTTGGTGTATTTGTCAGCACTCTCAAAAGCAAGTCAAGGTGAAGAGTAATGTAACTAATATCTTTTTGATGTGTTGTTTGTTTTCCTTCAGTATCCTTTCTTTCTAAAGTTAGAATTTTATATCAGCACCAGGATATTCCTGCACAAATACAGTAAAGAAAAAAGTGCAGTTCTGCATTCAAATTGTACAATTTTGGGTGTAGAGGCAACCTTAACAGTATTTAAAAATAGTACTAAGTACTCTACCTTGACAAACTGGTGCACACATCGAGAAAAAGCCAAGGAAGAAGTATGCAGAAACTTTCAAATGCCTAGGTCCTGTAGGGACTGTATTTTAGCATGCTGGGAGGCAAGGGGAACCTACGTGCTTATGACTTAATGTGTCCCCATTTCATGTTTTGCTTATAAATAACTGACCAAACAGAAGCTGAGGGTCCTTAAGTGCACAATGACTAAATCAACTTAACAATGTCTCCAACTCAAAGGATGGCTATATGCACAGAAGGATGAAACAAGAGCATTGGGTTATCAGCTGAAAGTGTTAAAATTTTCAGGGGATATTTCCATCTCTGAATATGAATGTAACAGCACTATTTCCTCGGCAAGTGATGGGCTTTTACACACGTAAATAAGTATGTAAGTTAGACAACTGATCTACTACTTGCTGGTGTCACAGAGAAAGTAAAGTCTACATACTCAAGCCTTGCAACAATGTAACCTGTATCAGTTCTTAGGGAAAAGGAGCATTTCCGCCTAAAATACCACAAATTCCCCAGAAACAACCTGTTATAATTCCCTTCCATTTAGTTTTGAGATGATAGCTCTCCCACCACTGCAATATAAATGGTTTGGAAAAAGAGATGTGAACAAGAGTGGCTGCCTTATGAACACTGAAAATACCCATACCATATTACATTGTAACAGAGAGATTTAAACTTACTTTTGTGTACATCAAGCATGAAGCCATGAAAATGGACTCTCTTTTTTCTTTCTACTTCTATATGGGAATAAAATATGTCCATCACCATTGTCTTTCCTGTGCCTTCAAATAAAAACACATATACCCAACAGGTTGTTAATTTAAAACACTATGTACTGATTACAGTAATGACTGTTCATTAGCATTGAGCTAATGAAATCATAATCGTGATCTGAACAGCACAAAATCATTATCTTTGGGAAGCAAGACTTCAGCTTCATGGATAGGATCATCTGTATTATAAGAATCTGAACTAAGTATAATATCAGGACCAGCAAATGCAATTACTGCTTCTATTTAAAATACTTTCAACACTGTTTATTTTGAATAAAAGAGAATGATTCTCTTATTTTCTTTTTATATACATCCACTATAAGTACATCTCTTCTTGATTAGACTAACTGGATAGACATGACTGGGTTTCTCTAGGCTAGCATCTTGTTTCCACTGGCCAGTTGGATGCTTCTGGCAGAAGCAGAGTATCGAAGCAACAGCTGTTCCCATTGTTTGAAATCCAGGAACTACCTCTGAACCAAGAGTTCACTGGATGAACAGATAAACTTGGAAATCTATGTAGCATCACAAAAGAGATTGATCCATATGTTACCTAATGTCTCTCAAATCTATTACTTAAGATTTGACTTGCAATACTAAAGATAACCATATACAGGTTATTAGCAGATCAAAATAGAATACTTTGATCTATTAGTCCAATTGGTGTCCCTGGAAAAAGTCTGATATAATAGGTAGTTCATGAACATTTGCAAACATTATGCTAGAAAAATCTTCAGATATGTTTCACTTAGAAACTTGAAACTTACCAACATCCCCATAGACATAAAGACCTTTTGGTGGTTTATCTCTTGTGAAAAACTGTGAATTAAGAGAACAATTATATTTTAATCTGCTCTGAAAATAGCCAAATAAGGCAGAAAGGAAAAATATTCAAATGCTTTTTAGCAAAGGAAAACCCAACATAACTTCACACATTTGTTAGAGCAACTGCAACAAAAAATACTCCACCTCCTGTCTTGGGGCCAGGTTGAAGGAATGCCTTGTCCCATATGTTCCTACCTGGCCCTTAAGACCATCTGCAAAGGTCTTTCTCAGGTAGCCCCTTCCCCCAAAAGGAGTAAGTGGGGTGGCAGCTAAACGAAGGGCCTTTTTAGTAGTGGTACCCCATCTGGAACATGCTATCTGGAAAGCTGCACCTGGTGCCATCCCTGACATCTTTTCAGCACTACGTAAAACCCTTTTTATGTTCTAGTTATTTTAATAGTTAAGCCTGTGTTTTTTTATCTGCTGAACCAGTTTTAAATATTGTTTATTGATTGTTGCTGTGCTGAAGAGGGGAGCTAAACTAGTATAACTGCTGTTGTTTTCCCTATGGTTGTTATCTGTTGTATTGTTTTATATCATTTTATGAGTATACTGCATATTTTATAGTATTGTATTTATATCTTATTAATTGTATTTATGATTTTAATGTTTTGTAAACTGCCCAGAAAACCTGCAAGCTATGGTGCAGTATAGAAACATAATGAATGAATGAATGAATGAATGAATGAATGAATGAATGGGTGTGTTTGGGTATATATCTGTGTAAGGTGGGGAGTCCAAACAAATTGACTGCATCATCACTTGCAAGTGCACACTTTTGGCTGTCTGATATGAAGAAGGAATCTAGCAGCACAAATCAAAAGCAATGAAAATGGTATGGAACCGGTCAGACTGAAAGGAGTCAGTCAGAAATGGGGTGGATAGTATCTCCCCCTTTTTGATGTGATCCTTCTGTTGAACTAACACTTTCAGTAGGATAAAGTAAAGGTTCCCCCACACATATGTGCTAGTTGTGTCCAACTCTGGGGCTAGTGCTCATCTCCATTGGTAAGCCAAAGAGCCAGCGTTGTCCGAAGGCGCTTCTGTGGTCATGTGGCCAACATGACTAAACGCCGAGGTGCACGGAACGCTGTTACCTGCCCACCGAAGTGGTACCTATTTATCTACTTGCATCTGCACGCTTTCAAATTGCTAGGTAGACTAGAGCTGGGACAAAGCAGCGGTTGCTCACCCCGTCACGCAGGCTTGAACTGCTGACCTATCAACAGCCCGGCAGCTCAACAGTTTAACCTGCTGTGCTAACCGTGTCCCAACACTTTCAGTACTCTATTATTTCATTATTTCCCCTCCATTATGTTTCTGTGGGGTTTTTTTAGAACTGTCAGAGGCCTGCAGTACCTGCAGAAGTAAATGTTTTGCAAAGGAGCCGCAAGAAAGGGGATGGAGCTCATATCTCCCCCTTTTGGAGATTCAGGAAAGTGTTAAGGAGTGGAGGGTACTGAGAGGACTTAAATTTCAACACTTAAAATCAAGATGACTGTATTATTAAGAGCAAAATATTGTCAACATTTGGTCACCTTCTTTTGCTGCTTCTCCCATCCCCCCTTTTATTGGTGCGTTTCAACTGACAATTTAGCAATTCTAAATTGTTTCTTTGGAATGGTGTACAAATTAGCCTACATGAGGTCTTGTCAGTCTCCAATTTGCCACAGTCTCTGACAGTTGAAGCAGGCAATGCAATGGACCGGACAAGTCTACATATATTGGACAGTATTTGTACACTTGCAAAAGATCAACAAAGTAAAATGTTATGAACACAGTTGTGCAATATCATAGGACTGAGATACACACGCACACAGATATTTTTTCAGGACCCAAACAACAACAGCAAACAATAATGGGTAGGGTTGAAGCAGAGAAGAGGTGTTTAGCAAACAAATAGCCTACATTGGATTATCTGCAAAGTGCCTTAAATATGACATATGCATTCACTATGCTCCATCTAACTTTGCATGAGTAGGCTTTTGCTTGTGTTACGGGACTTTCTTTTCCTCTAACCTTCCTGCAAAGGTTTTCCTCTAACCTCCCCTGCAAATCAGCCCCAGAGGGTTCTCTAATCTATTGGAGGAGATTAGGTGGAATATACGGGGGGGCGGGGGGCGCAGGAGAAACAGCCAGGTCTGTTCTACTGACAGACAGACAGGCATATTTGGATCCATATGGGCCAGTATCAAAAGAACATCCAATTATCTTCTTGAGGCTTTAGACTTCCACTTCTTGAACAGAAACTGCCCTACAAACAATTATCATTATCGTTTTTGTACTGCCCAATAGCAGTTTAGAAGTTTGAAGCCCTCCAAGATGAATACAGCAATTAATAAAATACAACAATGTACCATATAAAATATAAGTATCCATAAAAGCTTCATAAAATTTCATTAAAAATTATGAAAACTGAAAGTGGGGAGTCGACTGCTCAGTGTAAATATAAAACCAACATAAAAACAAACTATAAAAACAAAAACAAATACCAGTTAGTGGAAGCCTTTGATTTTACCATAAGTAGCTCTTTGGATCTCAGATGTACATAGAAAAATATCTGCCTACTTGACTGTTTTTACCTTTAGACTTTCCACCTACAACCTTTTCCCCCTCTTTTTTTGCTTGCTTGCAAGGAAGATTATTTTTTGAATATGCATGTTATTCCAAGCAGGAAAAAATGGGCATCAAGAGAGATCTCATCAGTTTGTGCAACTGCATAGGAAATCAATGTAATATTTGTAATATTTCATAAATTCACATATTTGTTATTTTGAAATACTGTCTTTGTACAGTCATGTAAATGTAGCACATGAGTAGAAACAAATTTAATTTACAATTTCACGTGGAGCAATGCAATTTCTAAACAGCATTAAAAACATTTGCATTATAAAATAAAGAATATTATTTTCCCAATCAGCTTTTTAGCATTTGAAATGTCAATATTTGCAGCAAGCCACATCAGCTAACAATTATAGCAAAATTTAGAGTTAAATTAATTTAGAGTTAAGTTAAATTAAAATGTGTCTCAAAATGTTGATTTCCTGGGCAGTTGTAACAAGGTTTCAGATGTTCTGAAACTGCTCCAGTCATTGAGCTAACTGCTGCAACTATTAAATAAAGCTTTGATAATACTGCAAGCCAAAAACTGAGGATTACTTTTCCAATATGCCTGGCTAAGATCTTGCTTTCAGCATGCTTACGAGCATTCAACACTGCACAGAGAAAGAAGAAAATAAAGGTAGGGTATCTACATTGTATCACACAGAAGTAGAGGGAAATTTTGAACACCACATTCTGCCTTATTAAGTGATCGGGAGTCGGGGTGAACAATGAGGTAGGCTAGTTTACAGATAATTATTTTACTCAGAGCTCATATTAAGTAATACTTTTGTTAAGCCAATCAAAAGGACACAAAGAAGTACAAGCTTTCATGATCTCTAGTTCCCTTCAATAGGCAAGATGTTTTAAAAACACCTTGGTAGTAGGATGTGGTGGATGGGAGGTGAGAACAGGGAAAAAAGCTGGCTTAATGTTGAACTTGTGATATCTGTATACTCAGAGTCTTAAAATAATATAATGAAGGAGAATTTGCAAAAATTAATTTGGGCTCTAAAAAGGGTTGTTTCAGTGCCCCTAGGCCTAGCAGGAACTATCTGTAGCTAGCATTACTGGCTATGTGTTAACTTCTTCACCAGAAGTGGCATCCCTGCATATACCTTTTGCTGAAGAGCTTGGGCAGGCAGAGATCTTGCATCCATCCTGCCTGAGCAATCCTGAGGGCAGCAGGTTTGCCACCATATATACAGAGTGCAGGACTAGATGGACCTTTGTTCTGATCTAACATGGCTTTTCTAATTTTCTTATAAACAAGGAGGTAGAAGGCTATTGCTGATTCTCCATTCCTGAGAATATAAAATCTAGTTATCTGAGAAGTGAATCTATCCTAAACAAATCTGCCTGATAACAGGTAACTGGACCTTGTATCAATACAGTATTTCTAGTAAATAATACTAGATTATCCCAATATGCATTAAATGCATACTATAGGCCAATGTAATATGTTTCCTGAAGTTAACATCTCCGCAAATTCTGAGGTAGTAGCAGCGATAAAACACAACATATAGTAGCTTGCCTTACATCGGATCTGTGACCAGGGAGAGCTACAACTATACAGCTCATGCTGTTCGCACATAAGACCCTGGGGCTCAATTCCCGATATATCCAAGAAAGAAAAACACTTCTTCTAGGGGTCTTTAGAGAGCTGCTGATGGTAGTCACTGTTGGGCTAAATTTGGATAGAAAACTTGCAGAGGTTTGCAACATCTCCACAACCCTACTGGGGGGACACATCCCTTGTCCACACCTAAATTGCCCCCACCTTGAATTTGCAAAATAGAATTTTAGAGGTGGTGGCACATGAACAAAACAAAAAAAGTGTCAATTTGAGGAGGAAGCGAGGAGGATGGAGAGTACACACCTTCTTTACAAGCAGAACTGAAGTGAGCTCCCAGGAGGTTTGAATCATTGTTCTGACAATGTAAAGTAGCTCCTTACAGTCTCAGATGCTTGGGTATCTACCACTTTGTTCTACTAAATTCATCTCATTCACATTTTCTAGTGTTTCCACATATTCCATACACATGTACAGTACATTACTTTTAATTTCTAAGAGACTCTTGGTATTTTTCCCTCTCGATGGCCAATGTTGGAAAAGCTGGAAGATGCTCTCCAGAGTCCCAGGCAGAACTACTGAAGGCTATTGTGAGCAAGTATGATGTAACAGAATAATACATTTTCTTTACTTTGTTCCTGTTTACAATCCTACTCCGCCACCTTCTGGTAAAAAGTTCTTTGTAGGACTAGGGTACTATCTTCTAACAACATTAAAGCTGGAGCACTTAACAATTCTAATGTCGACCATGTCCATCAATGTGAATAAAGAGATAATTACCACAAAAACTCTGGTGAGCACTTATAAACCAAGCAGATAGGTACAAATATTGAAATTTATGGTACAGTGGCACCTAGGCTATATTTTGCTTCACATTATTACTACACTGGATTTATAGCCTACCTTTTCCTTTTGTGAAAAGCCCAAGGTGGCTTACATAGCTCCATTTATCCTCACAACAACCCTGTGAAGTAGCTTAAGTAAGTAACTGGTCCAAAGTCACCCAGTGAGCTTCATGGACAAGTGAGGACTAGAACTCAGATCTCCTGAGTTTCCAGTCCAAAACTTTAAACACCACACTGGTTCGCATTAAACCCCTAGATTAGTTCTTTCAGCAATGATTTGTTGCTAATACTTTCAACACTCTTAAAAGAAGACCAACAGCCTCAGAGTTCTGGAGACTGAATAAAGGTTGTAAATCAACCTCACCACCAGAACTGATACTAAGTAGAACCATGAACTGGATGTGCAAATGGCTCTTTAAAATTGCAGACCCTCCAGCAAGAAACAATATAAGAGGTGTACATGAGTGGAGACACCCTTTCAATAGATGTTAATGGTTAGGTACTTTCTGACTATACCTTACCCTAGTCAAAATGAATTCCTTTGATTCTTTCAGGAGCAAACTCATGCACATTTAGATAGAAAACACCCTGCAGCTCCTAGCATGCCCCAGCCAGTCCCTAGCAGTTGTAGGACTTGTTTCTGTTTGAATGTGCATAGGACTGTGTTCTAAGTGACACATTTGACCACAACCAAAGTACTAATTTCTATTCAAGAAGCTTAATGTTGGTGTGGCCTACTCACAGATCTTACCATTTGCCCTTTTGCTTCAACTTAAAAATAGGGATAATTTGATTATGCTTTTCAATGTTTTTTAAGCAAAATAGGTTGCCATTCTTCCTACCTGGATAAACCAAACAATATGTTTTAACTTACCTGTAAGAAAATAGTATTCAGCAAAGGTTAAATTAAGTTGAGTAAGGGAGAAGGGATAGAAATGTTGGTAAAATTTGCCAGATTCAATGTACATAGGAGTTCCTACATGAAGCACATATTGGACAATATATCCAACACTGGCATTGATATAAATTACATCACATTAATGTAAGCTTCTTCCAAAAAATGCCAGTAGCATTCGCTGATATGATAGGCTTTCCAGGGAAGGCTGTTGTGCCAGCAAACGCTATTGGAAGCTTATGCTAATGCAACATAATTTTAATTAGTGTTAGTGCCAAGTATAATACTGTTCAGAGCTCTCACATGATCAAGAGCTTCCACAGTGACTTCAGGTTGTGCTTTCTCACTGTACTTGTAGAGCTCTCCAAATACTGAAATCAGGCTCCATGTGTACACAGCACAGAAGATTTTAGATCAGAACCCTTTTTGATCCAATACTGAACTGGCAATATAATTCTGTTAAAATTACATTTCTGCTGAAATCATTTTTAAGCATCTCAGGTAGCTAGAGTATATAGTTCAATATATACTACATGAAGGTAGGATGAGAAGCTCAAGCTGAACCTTGCTGAGTGGGTTTGGAAGTGTTATTTTCAGTCCAAGTTTCTAACATGTAAATTCGGACTATTAAATGGATGGAGCATACACAAATGTTGCAATCAGATATAAAAATGAACCAAAGGTAAACGCTGAAGAAACTATTGAAATGTCTAATGAAAGGCCCTCACCTTTGATAAAATGCGCTTTGGACTGATATTGTACCCTTTAAGGCTTTCATGTAGCTTCTGGAGGACCTGTATGACTTTTCGTTGTTGTTCATCATTCCTCAGGTCCCCTGTTTTGATCAGAAATTCATAATGTTCTAAAGGTCCATTGCAAACCAACAAGGCTTTGGAATTAGCATCTGCTATACTGCCACTGACTGCTTTCTCAGCTGCCTGTACTGTGTATGCTAGGAAGAGAGAGAGACATATTTATTTCACCATCAATGGAAAAGATCAGTGCATTATCATATTCTAATATAATCATCACTTATCAGAAAATGTTGTTTTTATTATAAGCCTCAATATTACTGAGAGATAACATAGGCATTGCTTCTTGCATGTAGTTTAAATAAATATCAGCTTTAGTTGCTCTAGGCTTTCCAATACATACATTTGAGTTAGACATGAATAACTTGTGACCCATTCATCCAGATGAAGCTAATCAACCTGTTTTTTAAAACTTTTTGCCTGTACAGGTTTGCAAAACATAGAGGTTATCAAGCCTCCAGCATGCCATAGCACATAGCTGGCATGCCACTACAGCTTGGTGGGTCAAAAGTTATGCAGATCTCATTTAGAGTTTAGACTGATACATACAATAAAGGCATTTAAACAGTGTTCCACATCAGTATATCATCCACATGGAAAAGACACTTTTGGTGGCAACAAGAGGTGGAGAGTACAGTGTAAATTAACTGTAATTATAGGATAAGAGATAATAATTGCTCTCTATAACCTTCCTAAGCATCATGCTATACTGATGAACAGCTCTTACAGTTAGGAATATATTCCTAGCTTCAAGTTAAATTTCCTTCCCAAATGCTTAAAAAAGAGTGTTTATTTCTTAAGAATTGAGATGTACAACTGTTGTCCCTCAGTTTTCAAAGGCCCCTTAAAATATTTTGGGTTTGTGGGCACACTCCCCACCTCCTATTTCCTCTTTAGATTAAACAAACATGGTTTCTTTAGCCTAGAATGTGACTACTAAAATTGAGGGCAATCCACACATACTTCCTTGAACATAATTGCTAATTACCAACAGGATTTACTTCTAAGTAGATATATATATAATATTGTACTGTTGCTTTATTATGCAATTTAGAGACAGAAGTTAAACCAGTAACTCTGTAATCTGTGTGTCCTGCATTTATACTCTTTATACTTTCATCCTGCTCTGCTATTGAAGCTCACCGTTCAGCTTTGAATGCTTATGGTTGCACATATCCCATTTAAAATGACTGTTTACATTATGAAAAGTTCAATAATTATTTTTGTAAGCCATCTAGATATACTTTTTTAAATATCTTGTACCTAAACTAAAAGGGGAAGATCAATATGACATGGATTGACTCCACAAAGGAGGACACAGTATTGAATTTATAAAAGCTATAAGACATTTTGGAAGACTTTCATGCATAGAGTCACTGTAAGTCAGAGATGACAATACATAACAGCAAACTAATAGAAGCGGTATAGTATTCTATACACATTTACCTGGCAATAATCCCCACTGTACTGAATGAGACTTACTCTATGTAACTATGGACAGGCGTGTTATGTGACAACTGTGTGAACACCTAGGTTGAAAATGAAGTGTGTAACAGCTATTACTGTTATCACCAAAAAATTATAACAGGACTAAGTAGATCAAGGATGTGGCTCAAGGACTGCAATTATCCCTTGGATTACTGTCATGTAGGTGTGGGGAACCCAGGGGAGAGGGCAAATCTTCAAATGGAAAGACCAATAGAAACAAAGGGAAGGTCTCTAAAAGTAATCAGTTCAGTTCACTGGCAAGAGCAATCTGTCCCTCCCTTCTTGCTTGGTGGAAAAACAGAAGAAAAAAACAAAAATGGATGGCAAAGAGAGAAAATGGGTAACTCCACCCATTTTTGTCTCCTGTGTCTGTTGGGGATGACATAAGCCAGTATGAGGCCCTCAACAGATTATCCCTGAGGAAAGCCAGGCTCTGACAGAAAAGGGGTCTACCACCTCTGAGGTAGATAATGGACTAATTAAATAAAGAAGTTCTTTCCTAAGACAGCATGTTCTGGACCATCTACCACAGGTTATTTATTTATTTTCTATATTGTTCAATAGCTGAAGCCCTCTGGGCAGTTTACAACAATCTATTAAAAACACAGTCTAAAACATATCATATCACAAAACTTCATAGAAAGTTGATAAACAAAATTTAAAACCAAATGTGAAAGACATAAAAATTCCAATAACTTAAGTAAGGTAAATCTTGGGACCAGATTAAGCAACTACCAAAGCCTCAGGAAACGGATTAAACCCTGCAGAAGAGGACAGTCTTAACCTGACACTGAAAATAAAGTAAGGCTGGTGGGCCTCAGTAGAAAGTTTGTTTCATAACTGGGGGGCCAGCACTGAAAAGACCCTTCTCCTTATTGCAATCAACTGAGCCTCTCTCAAAGATGGAAGTCAGAAGCAAGCATCACATCTTGATCATAGTGTCTAGGTAGATGGCAGTTGGAAGAAGCATTTTGTCAGCTATTGTGGCCCCAGGCTGTATAGGGCTTAGGCTTTATAGGTTAAAACCAGCACCCGGAATTGGGCTCAGAAGCATACAGGCAACCAGTCCAAGCAGGACAGAATTGGTGTTATATGTTCTGCTATGTTTTAAGTGGTAAGGATCTCCAAGTATGAATGCTTGCTTACCAAGATTTACACATTCTACAAAATGGAACACATATGAGTTGCCCTGGGGATCTTAGTTTTAGTTTTATAAAGAAATAACTAGACCTATAAGACTACGTTTTTCTACCTGAAAGTAGCTTACAGAACACAGAGAAATGGATCAACTAACTTAATCGCATGCCACACTGCATATGATGACCTATCTTTGTAACAACCTCATAGGACTACTGTGCTGTGCATGTGTGGTTAGTTGTGTTTGATTGCTTTGTTGCTATTTTTTCTTTTGTAACCACTTTGAGATTTATTTCAAATGAGAAGCTATATGTAAATATTATACTAATGTAGATGTATGAATACACACACACACACACAACAGACATTGGAGATGCAGTCATTCATCTCCAGTATCATGTAACTGACAACTGTCACTTTGACAATTTACCAGAGTATGTTGTGCTTCATTTAAAAATTTATGCAGAGCTTTTCTGTGCTATTCAGCCAATGTTGGATGGGTTGGCAAAAGGTTGGACTTTAATTTCCTGCCCACAGGCAGAGGGTTGTGGGAACTGAAGTCCAAAAGTTCTCCCCACCCTCTGCACAGACTGCAATTGGTAGTGCAAAAACCATTTGGGGGTTGGGGTGTGTTTTAAACTCCAATTAGTCATTTCAAACTGGCATAAGATAACATCACTGGATTATCAGACAGGGTTATAAGCAGGTCCTTGGCAAGAGCAGGTCCTTGGCAAGGTAGGTTGGGAACAAGGTTCCTCTGAAAAGTAAAGGTGGAGAAGGGTAGGAAGGAAGGAAGAGGGGAACCTTAAGGCTTGGCCATACTTAAGGGGACATTGTACAGTTGGTCCACTGTACCTGAATGCAGCAAGCTTGTAAGCTATCAGTCTGTGCGAAGCACTTGGTAAATATTTTAGACTTGTTACTAATGATAAACACATACAATGCTGCATGAAGTACTGATGTTGTAGATTGAACCCTTTAAAGTAAAAAAGCTGAGGCAAGCACAATCTGTTCAAGTTAAATCAGCTGCCCTTTATTCTAAAACATCACAGCCTGCCTAAAACGATTTGGACTCTGAATATCTTTACAGGCCACAGAGAATGCACATCCGTTCCAAAGGGGGTCTTAACACTTTTAACAAGGGTTATTTGGCAGCAAAGCCTAGGGTGAACCTCATGCACCTTTGCTCCTCAGACTGAGCTAAGAGAAAGAGTCTTTGCTCCTAACAAGCGAAGCCATTTCCAGACTGCAGTCCCAAATGGGGCTATTGCCCCTCGCGAATGGAAGGGAGAGGCTGGAGCTCCCGCTTTTGACAGGCTGGCCTTCCCCATCAGATTCAGAGATGCGGCGGTGGAGCTCAGTTTGGTAGCTAAAACCTCCTAAACTCTTTTGGCCGGTCAGTGCCATGCCGCCCGGAGCCCAGGTAACACTAACCTTTCCGCGGAGCGCCGGCCTCAGTCCAGCCGGGTAACAGGAGAACGGCGTGTCGAGCGGCAGCCCTTAAGAAGCAGCGCCCAGTAACCAAGGGCGACAGGGGCGCCGCCATCTTGGCTGGAGTTCTTCCAGCCCCCCTCCCTGGCCTATCGGCAGAATAACTTTGTGGAAACGAAGCCCCCGCCTACCCCAAGGCAATCCCAGTCACCTTCACCCGAAGTCGCGACTGGCAACCCTTGAAAAGACTACGGATTCCAGAGTGCAACGCGGCACTCCAGCCGGATACAAAGGCATGCCGGGAAGTATCGCTTTTAATGTTAGATTGAACCGAACCGGAATCAGGAGGCCACTTGTGGGCGTGTAGCTAGATTTGCATTCGGTGATACTAGCATTTGTTTTTTATGTAAAAATTTATGAGTCGACGTTCAGTCCAGTTAGGGCCTTCAAGTAAGTACACAATTAAAAACTTATTTTAAAGCTTTTTAAAGAATTTGAAAACCATAGAACTTTATTAGCAGTAAAATTAAGAGAAAATCGAACAGCGCAGTCTTATACGTATCCACTCAAAACTATGCCTTATACTTATTTACCTTATCTACTCAAAACTATCTGTTGAAATATTTAATCCCAGGTAAGTGTGTACTGTATAGAATTGCAATCTTGTATCGTATTCTTATACATGCAGAAGTGTAACTTTGGATTCAGTGGGAACTGTTCCTTGATACGTAGGTTTAGGATTCAGCCTTAAGTTTGCAATGTTTACCCGTTTATCTGGAAGTAACTCTCGTAGAATTTAATAGGTTTTACTTCTGAGTATTGTTCAAATTCGAAACAGCAACAACTCCTTTTGAATGTGCTATGCCTATAATTAACATGTCGAATTGAATTCATATGAGAGACTGGACTTACCGTAATCATTGATACCACACAACTTTTATATTATGACACCGTTCAAGAAAATGTGCAGGCTGATCCTATGCACATATACTTGTATTGAAAGAAATCCTGCGCCATGAAGGATGTCTGAAACCACGATTCATGATATAGAACCCTGTGGCAGCCTTTAGGTCAGTAGTCATAAGGGTTAGGAGTTATTTCCCAGTGCTGCTTTCTGAAATCTGCCTGTAAGGAATGGCTGGAAGTACCTATACATACCACCCCCACCCCCACCAGACTATCCCTACGAGGTGGCCAGATGTAAACCAGGTGGAGAATAGATTAAGAACCCCCTTGCCTCCCCACTTTTCTGCTGTGTAGTATCTACCGCTAAATCTTCTTTTCCCAGAACAGTGGCAATATGCAAATACATTATAGCTACTCAAATTAGCATATCATTTGCATGTCTCCAGCAAATTTGAGCTTACCTAACAGCTTTGTCTAGAACAGCAGCTGTCAACATATTAGCTCCAGCTTCTAGTGTTAATTTCTAAAGATCTATGGGAGGGCTGTTTTTTTCCATTTTTAACATATCCCCTGTATTTTTTAATAGACAAAACGGGCAATTTGTTTCCAGAAAATAGAAACCATCCTTGGTGATGAAGGATTTTAGAAAGTATAATGGTAAACTGTGAAATCAATGCTGTTAGGTTGGCAATTTGCCAAGACCTGAGCCACACATGCATAGCAGGGGCTGAGAAGACCCTTAGACCCTACGAAACCACCATATGTGCATGTGGTCTCCAAGATGTAACTAGATTAACTGAGTGCATAACTTTTAAACTAATGGTCATAATCATGTTACACTCCATGGGAGAGTTGGGCTAATGGCTGTAAAGGACATTGCATCTAAAAGCAGCAGGTCAATGATTGTTAGTCATGTTGCAGTGATAATACCCACATGGTCACCACTGGAAAGCTGTTAACAATCTTTCTGGGTATTTGCAGGATAATTTGTCTCATTCCCTTTTTGCCCCCTAGGGCTACGTATGATTCAGGGTTGGAGGTACATATGTCACACACACACATACATAGAAACAGAGCAAGTCAGAAGGGGCCTCCCGGGCCATCTAGTCTGACCCACGACTCCAGCCGGCTCTGCTCACGACATGCCCACCATGCGCATGTCCAGCCTATATTTGAACACCCTCACCGATGGGCCTCGACGATCTCTCCCTCTAGTGAAAGCCCATTTCACACCCTCGGGGTCCTAACTGTCAGGAAGTGCTTCCTGGCATCTAAATGGAACCTTGGTTCCATTGGCTGCATATGACGTAGTCATATGCAGACAAGTACACCCACACCCATGTTCACATATGCACAGACACCAGTGGTCCTGATTCAGATTGCTCCTTCCTTGTTGTGGCAGAAAAAGAATAGTCTGTGTAAGGATCTCTGGGAAAGGGAGAGGAGGCTACAGATGGTGAGAAAATTATTGGTGCTGGGGAACTTGGTGGCTGTGGATGAATCAGGGCAGAAACAAATTGTTACTATAGATGTTTTTGTTATTTTAGCTGGAATAGACTAATCAGATTATCTCTATGGAAGTTATAGCATAGGTTGGGACAGAGCTACTGTAGTGCTTCTCCTCCTCTCCTTTCTGTTATCTCAGAAAAACCTTTTATCTCAGAGTGTAGAGATTATGCCTGCTCCTCCCAAAATGCAGAATTCAAAGCTAGAATGCTCAGACTCTGAAGGAGAGAAGGGCTTGGAATGCACTGCTGAAGTGCCAATGTTAACAAGCACGATTAGCCAAGCAGATGGTGAGAATCAGACCACCTCTAGTCTGCATTGTTTCCTAGTTTTGTAGTTATTTCCGTGAATGTGCCTGACAGACCATCAGGTTCATCATGGCAGCTCTCCTCCAGCCATTTCCTTCCTCTCTGTTCTCCAAGTGGTATCCCAGAAAGCACCACAGGAAGAAATGACACTCCTGTGTTTCACAACCATGCTTGTGAGCTCATGCCCTGAAGTGCAGCAGAGGATGAGGAAGCTAATCAGGCACCCTCACCTCCTGCTCCAGAGGGGAGCAGCAAAAGGGAGAAATCAGCTTGGCCGAGCTGTGCAAAGGAGCTGCACCCACCTCTGCACTCACCTGAGGAAAGTCCTCCACATATACTCAGCTGCAGTGCTCAGTTGGGGGCTTCACCACCCAGTGGATTCCCTCTTAACCCCTTCGGTTCACACATGCCAGAGGCAAGCCCCTTGTGCATGAGGACAAGAGGCAAGGATCAGCTGGGCAGTGGTGAAGAAAGGACCAGTGCTGCTCAACTGATTCACCTTCTGCTTCCTTCACATGAGCCAGAGGGAAGGCCCTCATGCACATGAGTGTGTGGGAGGGCAGCAGTGCCACTCAGTTGGCCACTCTTGCCAAATGGCTCTATGGTGCTGGTCGTGGTACCATGATATGTTTTGGTTTTCAAATTTGGACAACACAACAAGTCATTGTGGTACTGAGAAACCATAGAACAGACTGTTGTTTCTGTTCATTGTATCTAAAAATCAAATGTACAATTTCTCCTTGATCCACTGGAAAGGGAAAAGATATACTCATGACACAAAGCTAAATTTCCACGTAGTATAGAAAGGATGAAATTCATCTTTGCTTTATATTGTTCATCTGTTTTTTCTACTACTGTGTGTCATCATCATTTTTCTAGGAAGTAATTCCTTACACCAGTAAATTTATGTCAAGTAGTTATAAGAAATTTTTTTTACTGCATTCTCTAATATACACTTACCTGAGAGTATACCTCATTAAACTCAATGGGATTTTTGTGTAGAAACATGTATAGGATTGCACTGTTAATGTTTCACAGATATCAGTGGAAGATGTTAGCATTTATTTCGTACTTCATTAAAATGTGATTAAAATGCTAATTTTGTGAATTAGTTGTTTAGCTTGGTTTTGTTGTAATTTGCCTAGAAATGGAATAAAATATGCTTGGTTGAACACATAACACTATAAGTGATATTTTTAAAGTGGCAGGATTCTGTCCTACATGACTTTAACATTTATAAAATGTGGTGCTGTGTTTAGTAATTTACACTGTAACCCTAAACATGCTCAGAAGTAAGTCCCACTGAGTGCAATGGTACTTCCTTCCAGGTTAGTGTCTGTGGGATGATTGCACTGTTAATAATGATAGCAGAAACTTCTTTATGAGATTTGAGGATTTATTTCCTTTTCTCTGCCTGTCCTTTTTTGAGCTTTTTATGAGTTTCAACTAGGTTGTTGAATGCATCAGCACCTGGGCCCATTTAACAAAGAATTCCAATGTAAATCATTATGAACAGAATCTCAAAAAGGCATTGCAATTGTTAGAAGCAATATTTTTAGAAACTCAAACAAGGAAATAAACAACTTCAGTAAAAGTGATTTAAATAACAAATAACTTCTCTTTATAAACAGCTTAGCTCCTTGAGAACAATGAATAAACAAGGAGACAAGAGTCTTTTTCCCCTCTGCATTATTAACTCTCATCACGATATGAATGGGTGAAATGTCAGGAATAATTGGAGAAAATCACAGCGTAATCTTCGGCAAAAACATCTGATTTATTTAAATTGTCACTACTCATTCTTAATAAATCCTCTCTTTAACCTTTTGATCTGCAATCCAGCAGGCTAAAAACTGTACGTTTGTGTGCAATGAACATCTTCCATCCTCTCACATGGTATCAACAAAACTACATATTATTGCATGTTGAAGGAAGAGCAAACACTGCATCCTCTCTCAGGAGCTGAAACGACCCCAGGGCATGGCTTCAATCATGGTATCCGGGAATTCACATGAGACAAAATTTGTGCTAAATATAGCTGTGAAGCTTTTTACAGGAAAGAGCAGGTTGAACGTATGCATGTAGCCTTGCCTGCATTTATTTTAATTTACCTTCTCTATAATGCAGGTCCATCTTTTCAGTTGCAAACACCAGGGCTTTTAATTGTGCATCTGTGTGAATGATATAAGCATGCCCAATCCGGCTGGATGATTACAACACTAAGCCAAAAAAATAAAAAAGGAAGCATGTTAAGGGCACAGTTGAATTTCAAATGTAGGTCAGATTAGTACTTGATGGTACACTGGATACGGTTTTGTGCAATGTGGTGAACAACAGGAGGGCAGATATATAAAGCAGTACTTAATTTCTTCAGTATTTCTCTACATAAAAACCAGATGTTATGGTCCATATGATTCTGTCAAAGAGAGATAATCCTCTTTTTCTAATTGTTTTATGTTCCATTAGTTAATAAAAAACTATGCATCATTCATAATTATGCATTAAGTCTATTCTATCTGAAAACTCATCAAGAAGTTACTTGCAACTTAGCTAAATACAACTAAGTTGCTGGATCTCTTTTAGCCCAGTGCTGAATTCTATTTGGGAAAAGCTTTCAGGAGCAGCATTCCAACACTGGGCATGGCCAAAAGTAAAAATACCAGAATATTTTATAATGTAAAGCTCTTACTGCAAGTAATGATGCCTTAGCAGAGTCATTTCAACATTTTGGCAGGACACAAAAGCATCAACAGGCAGTGTGGGAAAAGAGGAATGAATTTCTGGGGAACCGCAGAGGGCCAGATTGGGACTTTAGGAGGACTAAATTTGGTGCCTGGGACAGGTTCTGTACCCCTGATATACCAGGTGGAACAAAGAAATCTTGGTCAGGCTTTAAAACCCAGATTGTAAAATCACTACAATGCATGATGGGCTGTGCTGCATGGCAGCAAATGTTATGAATATTCAGGCCAAAATTTGTGATGTCATCCAAATCTGGATAGCAAGGTTGCATGCAGATTAAACAACTCTCATAACATGATTCTGTTAGATACATATTAGTGCTTTTCTCTGCATTTATTTATTTGTATTCATTTAGGAAATATATAGACCATCCATCACTGTCTTCTCTGGACGGCTTACAGAACTATTCTAAATCTTAAAATAAGCTATTCCATGAACTAAAATTGGATGATGTTAAAATATTGATCAAATAAAAAGGTCTTGACCTGGCGCCGAAAAGCATATAATGACGGTGCCAGGCGGATTCCATAGTCGGGGCGCCACCGCAGAGAAAGCTCTCCTCCGAGTACTCTGCATCCAGTTGAGATCTGGCTATAAGTGAAATGAGGGAGCTGTCTAAAGCAGGAGATACTGGGAACTGATAGCTTGGAGGGAAGCACCACTGTGCCCCCGCCATCTCCCCCATGGGTGGGGCAGAACTGCATATGCTATAGATGAAAGCCAATGTTGCAAGAATCTAAGTCTGCTCATGCAACAGGACTTTTACACACAACTCTGCAGCCCCCAATCTACTCAAGCACATCCCCAACTTTCTGGAGTAGGGTTTGCACAGAGAGCTGCTGTGTGAAAGAAAAATAGTTCTCTCATGATGGTAACAGTGCCACCAACAGAAAAAGTTACTGGATTTCAGCCCTTGTGACCTGTGCCCCCTACACCGCTTGTTTCCCTTGAGTGCGACAGAGAATACTGTCCTGTTGCCACTCTAGGAGAAAGTTTCAACCACCAATCTGATCACATTCTTGGGAGGACAACTTCAGGCTCTTTGGGGTTTTGTCCTACAACTTCCAGAATCTCTAAGCTGCATAGCTAACAATGAGGGATGATGGAGTTACAGTGCAACAGCATCTAGAAATGACCAGTTGCCCACCCTGCATATACAGAGGGGGGAAATGCTATTTTTCCTTTATTTCAGGTAGCAACATGTTTTGGGCTGGTCCAGCTCCAGATGCTAAGAGGCACTCCTTTTCAACTACCCTTTGGTGCTTCATCAGCAGCATCATACAGAGATTAAGTTTCCTCCAACTAATGATTTTTAAATTGAAGGCATTGTTTTTATGCATAACTACAATGTTTTATTTTTGTCAATTTTAAACACAGTAACTGCATTCAAACTGTGTCTTTAAAGACACTGCTTAGTCTCAGGAAAGTCTCTCTTTGGTTTTCCAAGTACATATTACACAATTTGGTGGGCTGTATTTAACAGTCTCTGAATCAGTGTTTTACAAAATTCTGGTGCAAGTCCTTTAAATAAAGTTGCCTTCCTCAAAGTTTGTAAGGATGCTGAATGAGCATAATAGATGTAGTCCTCTTAAAAGGAACACAACTGAGTTATTTTCACTGGAAGCCAAGTAACTGAGAGCTATTTCACACAGCTCTCTTTAATACTGTGTAATCAGCATAACTTGATTTTTCCCAGCAATTTTAGGCAGTTGAACTGGTCTTTCAAATGGGCTTTGATTATACTTCAAAATACCACCTCTCCCTCTCAAAATCTTCTGAAAGCTGGTTGACCATGGGCATGATGCCTTGCTATGTGGAGATGTGCAATAGTACACAAGATGTGGCATGGAAACACAAGATGTGACAGTCTATGCATCCCATTCCCAAGTAAATGTGCACGGTACTGGTGCAGTCCCCACAGTTGTGTCAACTGTGTGGAAGTGGATAATACTTTTTGGTTTCTTGTCCACGGCCAGCCCACCATATGTTGTTCACCACACATAACAGTTCTTTCAGATATTTCCCAAGATACTTTCATTTCATTCATTACATTTCTGTACTGGCCAAGGTTCTCTAGGAAGTTTTAAAGTTTAAAACCTTAAAAATACAATATAGAAACATTGTATAAACATTACATGCAAAGAATATAAAAAGAAATCCCATGACAGATCCTATTACATGCTGTCATATGTTTGACAGCAGAGGAAGATCTTAACTCAGCACTCCAAGGATACCTAAGTTAGTGCTAGTTGGACCTCACTTTGAAGAGTGTTTCATACTCAGGTGAGACACCACTGAGAAGTGCCTCTGTCATGTTGCCATCCTCTGAACCTCTCTTGGCTGAGGCACTTAGAGGAACACAGATAATTGCAGTATATGAGTACATTCACATTTGAAGAGGTACTCCCAGATATTGCAGTCTCAGCCTGTCTTAAGACTATGGGTCAAAAACCAGTGCTCTGAACTGGGCTCAGAAAGAGGCACTCCTACATATGGCTAGCTAGGGAATGCTGGGAGTTGGAAGGCCATTTCCTAGCTATAAGATTGCACCTTGGGGACTCCTAAGCTCATTGTAACCTATTATGGCAACCCTAATTGGAAATCACAGTGTTATAAAATTGAATAGACATATAGAGGAAAATTGGCAAGTCCAACTCAGTTATATTTGCCTTAAAAGAGGAAACCTCTCAGAAATGAGGGAACTTGTAAAAGTTGAAAGGGGAAGTCAAGATATACCTGGAGGTTACTCAAAACCACGGTACCAGCATCTCAGTTAGAATGTATACCATAATTAGGACAGGTAGCACCAAATCCAAGAGGTTACCAGCATGGTTCAAGGAAGCTATTAGAGAAAAGAAGACTTTTCTTACCCAAATGAAGAAAACAAAAAGGAGCACAAGCTTGCACAAAGATGTATGCACACAATAACAGTTACAACAAAGCATTTTGAGGAGCATACTACTAACAACATCAAGGTCAACAATATAGATATATCAGAAGCATGAAATGATTTAGAGAGGAAGATGGAGTGTTGGTGAAGCTAAAGGAGTACTAATTGAAACTAATACGATTATGGAGAATGAATTCTCATTTCACTTCACTGCAGAAGACATAGGAAAGATACCTGAACTGATGCTTTCAAGAAAGGAATCTCAAGAACTGAGGCAAATTGTGGTGACAAAGATGAAGTTGTCAGCCACTGACAAACTTAAAGTTAATAAATCACTGGGCCCTGATGATATCCATTCTAGAGTTCTTAAAAGTTAAACACCTAAGTTTAGCTTAGGAAAAAGATAAGGAGACATATGACAGAGGTGTATAAAATCATGAATAGTGTGGAGAAAATGGGTAAGGAACATTTTTTTCTCCTTCATAGTATTAAAACTGGAATCATCCTATCAAACTGCTTGGTGCAAGATTCAGGACAGATGAAGGAAAGTATTTCTTCATGGAGCACATAAACTATGAAATTCTTTTCTAGTAAATGTAGTGATGGGCATTAATTTGGATGGTTTTAAAAAGGAGTTGGACAAATTCATGGAGGCTAAGGCTATCAATAGCAACTAAACCTGATGGTTGTATGTTATCTCCTAAATCAAAAAGCTGTATACCTATATTGATCAGCTGCTGGGGATCACGGGTAGGAGTGTACTATTTGGCAGCTGGTTCGCCACTCTGTCCTGTGAACAGAAAGCTGGACTAGATGGACCCTTGGTCTGATCCTGCATGGCTCTTCATGTTCTTGCTGCGTAAGATTGTAGCTTTATTCTTCACAGGCTACCTGCTAAAAGCACAGCTACAGAGAGCTACTGAAAAGGCCACCTCTACAGCCCTTTCCACTTCCAAAGCACCGAAGCTGGCATGCCTACACGTAGGGTCAAGGCTTATTAATTGCCATGCTTCAAAAATGTCCTGAGGAAAATATGCTGAGTACAGTAGTCTCATTAATATCCATCCATTTATTTTCAGTTCTGGGGTACCTCCGGAATCAAAGCGGTAAACTTTCGTACCGCTTCAGCTTTCGAACCCCTTCCCCCTATCCCAGTAGGTCCCTCAAGAAAATTCTTCAGCCACCGCTAATCACGCTTCCCCTCTTCTCTATCTTCCTCCCGCTCACACGCCTGCATTACGGTGCATTGTGGGAGATGTAGTTCTCCATAGCAGTCTCGTCTCGGGCTCTTGGAAGCCATACAGGCCGATAGAAAACTTCCATCCCCGAGGTGCTTTGCGCAAGTAGTAGAGCCTGCTCTCTCCGACGGGCGGCGGCTGGGCCGGAGCGTGTCGCGGGGGCGTCACGTCGGCTGGCCGTCCGTGAATAAGAGAGCGAGAGGGGGCGGGGGCTGGGTCGCCGTGTTGTGACGCCCGAGGGGACCTCAGAGCCTCCTCGCCCTTCCTCATCTCTCCCCTGCCGCGGCTTCCCTTTCTGTGGTAGCTCGGCTCTGCGGTTCTCCTACTGGACAGGGCAAGCGGGAGGGCGGGGGAAATGGCTGAGACCATCGCGGACACCAGGCGCCTGATCACCAAGCCGCAGAACCTGAACGACGCGTACGGCCCCCCGAGCAACTTCCTCGAGATCGACGTCAGCAACCCGCAGACGGTGGGGGTGGGCAGGGGCCGTTTCACGACCTACGAGGTCAGGGTCAAGGTGAGAGATCCTGACGGAGCGGCCTGCTGGCGGGGTCGGGGTTCAGGCCGGGCTTGTTCCGCTTAAGGAGCGCGGCAGGAGGCTTGGCTCGTCCACTGCTGTTCTTTGCTTCTGAGGGTGTCTTGCCTGTGCAACTTCCAAGTGCAGGGGCCTCTTCTGCTCTGCTCGCTCACAAATGTGTGTGTTGCCTGGGGCTGCGAGCACACCTGAGTGTCTTCTGAGGCTTCATTTGAGCCTCTTCTCTGTTCTGCGTTCATCCCCATCCCAGAGTTGGGAAGAAATCCTCACGTGAGGGCCCACTGGCTCCCTGGCACACCTTTGGACAAGATGTTGCAGTTCCAGGCACACAACTGATCTACCTTGGGCATTCTGACTTAGCGAGACTGAGGCTGACAGTATCTTCTTGCAGTTGGAGGTGAGGGAGGTGGCTGTGTGATAAACACACAGAGGAAATGCTTGAACATGTTCAAAGCGTTTTCCTTCAGCATCTTGTAGTCTTGAATCCTGAATGAATACCATTCATTGCTGTCGTGTTTGTATGCTAGTGCAGAAGCCCACACAGGACTAGGTTTTGAAACATACATTGTAGTTTTAAATTGTGTGTCTTCTAGATGATTGTGGTTGGAAGTGTCTCTCTCTGTGCGTGTGTGTTTCAGTGTTCCTTATGTTTGCAGTCCAGAAATGCAGGGTGTTTGGCTCTGCACTGTTCCACCCTAGTAGACCCATGTGCTGATCTATACTAAAATGGATGCTGGCCTCCTTATACCCATTGTGTGGGCAGGTCCTCATAGTATTTCTCTTCATTGATTATCCACTACAAGAGATGCAGATTTTTCAGAAATGTCGAAGATGGCGGAAAAAAGAGTTCTAGTTTTTTCCTCCTTTCAATGAAAAGTTTTTGCAGAAATGAAAATGCAGATATATGCAATATTTACTTGTCAAATCTCATGTTCTTTTAGTGCTTTAACAACATAAAAGACACCATGCAAGTTGAACTGTTTGGAATATTTATTACATTTACAGACTATATATGGCCACTTTGGGTGTGTCAGGGGTAAAATCTGTCCAGATGTAGCTTACATAAGACTCCTGTGTATATTTACCAAGAAGTATGCTTACCTGTCTACTAGAATGGAGTGCATTGGATGCAGCCTCAAAGGATGAATCTTTATTTAAAAACAACATTGGAAATATAATGGGTACTAGAAAATTGCACTTTGTGCTATGGAAGCACATCTATCTTTGTTTTTGCCATCTGGGTAGTAGGAAAAATAAATGTTGAAATGGGAAACCACACAGTATATAAGAAATGAAAGTGCATTTAGAGAAATAGTTCCATGCAGTTACAATACTGAGAACTAGCAGCATGTTTGGGTATTGATTTACACTTAAGAGCGAAAGCAGTTACCATATTTTTCACTCTATAAGACGTGTCCGACCATAAGACACACCTAGTTTTTAGAGAAGGAAAACAAGAAAAAAAAATCTGAATCAAATGGGCACATTATCACAGGCACATTCCCCATCACTTTCCCATGGGCTGCACATCTGACAGATTTACTGCACACACATATTCGCTCTGTAAGATGCACAGACATTTCCCCTTACTTTTGAGGGGGGGAAAGGGCATCTTATAGAGCAAAAAATACGGTAACTCTTCAGTGGTGTGTTGCCATTTTCTAATGTGTTGATTTTCTTGTATGAAAAACTTTGTATTAGTCATTTTGAGTGAGTACAACTTTTCATACATTCCGTAAGGCAATACTTCATAAGAGTTTTGCAGTATTCCATTACATTTCCAATTTTCCATTAGAATAAAATCCTCCTGCCATTTTTTTCCCTTTGGAAAATGCCCTGGGAGAAAAATGTAAAAACATTTCCCCCTTTCCCCTGGACTTTCACATGAGTCTGCTGTGTCTCCAGATATTTGGAACTTCAACTCACAGAAATCCCAGTCAGCATGGCCAATGTCAGAAATGCTAAACATCTGGACGTTTACTTTCTTTTCAGACCTGCATTATAGCATCAATTCTATTGTAGAAAGACTGAGTTTGGAGTGGCCCTTGAATATACATTTGGTGTCGGAGATTACTATAAATTTCCTCAGTAGGTGACAAAAGGAACCAGTGCTATTGAAAGGACCAGTCAAATCATACCGAAAGATTATAACTAGTATATAATTGTGCTGTGTCTGGCATCTGGTAAACTGGTAGTATATTCAATGCCTTAGTTTGGGTTCATCAGTTGTATTTCAGTGTGTTTGTACCATACTTTGCTCTCCTGAAGGAGATCCAAAGCGTAGTCATCCGGAGGATGATACAGCTTTCCTGACTGGCTAGTTACATTCTCTGCATTCCTGTAACTTAAAGACTAACCAGGGGAATGCACTGTGCTCCGTAACTGCTCCCAGTCACCATGTTGACTTACCTCTCTGATATCATGGCAATACAATCTCAAGGCTGACCCAGTTGAAAATGTAAGACAGTTGAGCCTCATTGTGTGGGTTGGGGAGAGATTGTACATCTCCTAGAGCAGGGGTCCTCAAACTTTTTCACCAGGGGGCCAGTTGAAAGCTGCTGGTGCTGGACATGGGCGGGAAAGGGTGCCCATGGCGGTGGTTGGGGCAGGGGTGGTGCGTGCAGGCGCGGGGGTGGGGTGCACGACAAGGCAAGGCGAGGCAAGGCGCGGGCGGGCGCATGAGGGGAGGCGGGTGTGGGTGGGCGGGCAGGCACATGCGGTGAGGGGAGGCGTGGGCAGGGGCGGGCACGTGCCACAAGGGGGGCACACAAGGCAGCAACTTGCTCGCTTGGAGATTGTTTTCTCCGAGCGAGCAAACCGCTGCCTCCCCACGTGCGGGGTGAGGTGGGCAATGTTGGATGCATGCCTGGGTGCGGGCGGGCGCACACGCTGCGGGTCCAAATGGGCATGGCAGGCCGGATAAATGGGCATGGCGGGCCAGATCTGGCCCCTGGGCCGTAGTTTGAGGACCCATGTCCTAGAGGTAAAACAGCAAATCAGTGACCAGCACTGTATCACACTACCTCCCCCATAAATGTCTTAGTTGTACACTTTGGAACAGCTTGACCAAGAAAGTCTAAGGATTTATTATAGACCTGGATCTCCACAACATGGAATTCCATCATGTGTAACTAGCCATGATGGGTTGTTGTGTCATTTGAACCCAGTCCACTTATTTTTGGGAACAACTCATGCTGACAATCCAGGGCTTCTTTAATGGTTATTCATGCCATCTTCCATGCAGAATTGTCATATCATCTAAACCTGGGAATGCCATTTTATTGTGTGTTGCAGGGATTGGTTAGTGAGCCTCTTAGCAAGAGCCGCTCTTTGTAATTCACTCATGCTACTCCCAGTGATTGCACCTTCACCAGTGCCTAAGCAGCTCTTTAGCATCACAGGCTCATCTTTCTTATCTTTTGGTCCCACAATATTGTGCAAATGTATTCTTCTTTTTCCTGGTCTTTTGCAAGTGCAGACTTAGGACTGTCCTATTTTTCCTGATCAATTTCCTTGTGCGCTTCTGCTGTCAAAGGGTACCTTGAAGAGGAGAAGGCAGCATACAAGGAAACTGGCAAGGTCAGACTGTCTATAGGCTAATCTGCTCACAGTTGCTAGGTACCTTTTGCCAAGTTGTCAATTGCAAAGCACCACTAAAGGGGGCAGGGCAAAAACAGCAAAAGAAAATGCATCAAAAGTTGGGGAGGATAATATCTTCGCCTTGCAATGTAATAATCATGATATAAAGTGTTGAATTGACAGTTCTCAGGCCATTCATCTTTTCAACACTAACCCGAGCCCCCTGACACTCCAAAAAGGAGGGAGATTAACTCCCCACACCTTTTCATGGCATATTAGCCTATATGAAGTGTTGCCTTGTCAGTTTTCTTGTAGCCCCTTGGCAGCTGAACCATACAACAAAATTAGTCAGGCAAGGCTACAAGCCTCAAGAATGTCCTTCTAAAAGACCAATAATAAAAATTAGATCTGAGAGAACTGATCATGTTCAGCCTTGAGAAGAGAGGACTGAGGGGGGCCATGATATCCCTGTATAAGGACCTCAAAGGCTGTCACAAAGATAAAGGCCAAGATTTCATCTTGCTGATGCCAGAGTGTAGGACACGGAATAATTGATTCAAGTTGCGACAACCCAGATTCAGGCTGGACATCAGGAAAAGCTCCCTCACTGTCAGAGCAATACAACAGTGGAACCAGCTGCCTAGAGAGGTGGTGGGCTCTCCCACATTAGAGACATTTGAAAAGAAACTGGACAGCCATCTGAGTGGGATGGTGTAACTCGGTATCCTGCAGTAGCAGGGGGTTGGACCCGATGGCCTTCATGGCCCTTCCAACTCTACTATTCTGTGCTTCTAGCATGAAACAAAGGTGTGTTGTCACTGATATTTACTCTTGCTATGACCCACACATAAGCTTGTAGAAGAGCTGGGAATGATCATGTGAGCTGGATCTATTAGCCAATATGTTTGTAGATTGCTGAAATTAGGCAAAGTCTAGGATTCTAGGATGATCTCTGGCTTGTCTTATCTGAACTGCTTGTGTAGATTGCTTTCAAAAGGTCCTGTGTTCAGTTCCTATCATCTCCAGTTAAGGAGGCCTTGGCCAAAGGGTCTGGGGAAGATCTTTGCCTTCAGGTCTTAGGAAAGGTACTACCAGTTGAAGTAGATTATGCTGGCTCAGATGGACTGGTACCTTGACTTCGTATTAGGCAGCTTGGTACTAGATGAAAAAGAACTTAACTTGAATTGTCTAACTAACAAAGGTTCATTGACTACAACAGTACTTTCCCTCTGATTAGGTAGCTTGCTACTCTGGAATTTGATTGTCTCTGCTTGTCACTTAAATTTGTATCTTGTTCTAGTAGAAAGGCTCAGGACATCTTACACGGACCTAATGAATCAAAGTGTGCCTGCTATATATGTAGGCCTTTAGCAAGGATAAACGAAGCAGAAGATTTTGTGCTG